CTCTATCATTTCATGATTGCTATGCCCAAGATGGCCTCCAATCGTCACATCACGCACAAGTCCTTCTCCATCCACAAACAACAGGTCCAGCGGGGCGCCTTCCCTAGTTGTCTCACTCACCAGTTGTGTCAGGAAGTTCTCTTCCACACACTCCAGGAACCTCCCAGACTGTTTCCTCTCTGCTGTATTTCCAACTGACATCTGGTAGGTTGAAGTCCCCCACAAGAATAAGGGCTAGCAATTGTGAGACTTCTCCCAGATGCTTACAGAATATTTTGTCTGCCTCTTCCTCCTGCTTGGGTGGTCTGTAACAGACTCCCACCACGATCTCTGCCTTGCTGGCCTTCCCCTGATTCTTACCCATAAAGACTCAACCCTATTGTCGCCATCATCAAGCTCTAGAAAGTCAAAACATTCCCTAACACACAGGGCTACCCCACCGCCTCTCCTTCCTTGCCTATCCCTTCTGAAGAATTTATAGCCATCCAAGAAAGGCTTATAAACAAAAACCAACCAGCCACTAACAGATAAATGCAGAGAAATAAATTAGGAAATAAAATTAACATCTTAGAGGATGAGAGAAATAGGACTAGCAAAGCTGTACCAGAAACATGATGTAACCATACATTGTGTATCTTACGGTCTTCAACACTGTCATTAAAATCAGAATCTATAAATTTTCTTGGGAAGATATAATCAGTCACATACTATTTTAGGCCACATACATACATACCAGACATATTTAACAGTATTATTTCTATTCTGGTATTCCAGTATTTTATGATGGCTAATCCAAAGATACACACCCATTATAACTGAATAAGAATTTAGTTTTGCATAGGATTCTTCTTTTAATTAACAAAAAAGAGACTTCAATCTCAATATGCTTATTTTAAATGCATAACCTGTTTTTGAATACACTTCTGAGGTTTATGCATTAAAGTTGGCTTAATGAATACTAGTTTTATGAAAGAATATGCCAATGATGTGAGGAAAAAGGGTGATTCTAATTAAGTAAAAGTTTGGTTTTATTAAGGACATTTAGGAAGGTTCACATCAGGGAAAAGCTTTTGATTCCATCAACACTACTTTTTTGTACTGACTGTATAGCAGAGCCAACACATTACAGGTGACATCAAAACCTATTAGACAAAAAACTATTTTTTTCTGAAAATACTTCCTATTTGACATGCAAATGCTACTTTCCAGTGCTGAAAATGACCTCTCAACTAAAACATGAATAATTTTGATACACAATGAATCAAACAGAAACATTAGAAGAAATTTGGCATGAGTGGACTTCTTACCTACAATAGTAAATTTAAATATTTTAGATGGTAGAGGCCTTCCTGCATAAGTATCTGCATTACTTTCATTCAATACTACTTGCAGTTTCAAGGTGTAGTTCCCAAGTTTCTGAAGATTTTCTAAACAGAAATACAAATACAATTAGAAAGCAAAGAAAGTAAAATTATAAATAAATGGAAACTATTGCATATGTGAACTTACCCATTTTTTTAAACCAGTATGGCCATTTGCCTCCATGCTGACTGATATGGGAAATTATTTCTTTATTCCCAGTAGGTGCTGCAAAACAAACAATTAAGCTACATGTATTTAGATTTTACACCATAATTCTTCATTTTTTCAAGTATTACTATCACTCATTATTAAGTATTACTATCACTTCTAAATCTAATAAATATAAATTCAGCTTCACAATTAAGCATGTTGATCACAGCTAAAAAAAAAAAAAAAAAAAAAAATTAATTCCCTACCTAATCCCATTTTAATCTAAAATTGTTAGCCTCAGACACATTAAACTGAAAGCAGCAGGTTTGTAAAGATGGATTTTTATTAGCTCTTTGGTTATACGTTCCCCATTAAGTCTTAGCACTTGTAGGCTGTGCACACCATGCTGGAAACTGATCCACTTGACAAATGACCATAACAAATTAGCTTAAATGGTAGAAATGGTAAAAATGTGCAGCTGACTGAACATATTATCAAGGAAAAAAGAACATTCCTTTTTTTCTCCAAATTACTCTATCTGTCTTTATAAACACTTCTGCAGCATTAAGACACATACAGAAAGAGAACACACTGAAACTTCGAGGCAATGTTTTAGTGACTGGTTCTATATCCTAAGATAAATACAGGAATAAGATTTATTGCTTGAAACTTCAAGAGGCATTAATATATTTGTTTTTCAAAATAGAATAAATACAGAATGTGACTGCAATAAGACTACACAGAATAAACTGAAATGCAGTAAAAATATACATTGTTCTATAGCTAAGTACAACTGTTTCAAACCCTGTTCTTGCACCAAATTGTGTATATAAGATAAAGTGATAGTGTCAACTTTCTTAGCTGTATTTCTTTGAATGTGTAGTTCTGGAATACTGGGTTATTAAAATACATTTTGATGGTGCTTTGTAGTAAGAGCTAAATCAGTTTTCTGTATCAGGGTTTTTTCCACTTTTGGTAGTTACTAACACTGAGAAAATGGAACTTCTCAAATGAGTGCAGTTTTCCTATTGCAGTGCCAAGTGCCACCTTCAAGTTAAACTAAGAGTCTGTATTATGCAAGATGCACACCTGGAAGATGGACACCTTCCTTCTTGTATTGCCCCAATATAGACAGATAATCTAAGGTGGAAATTTATCTATAGGAAGTGAAGAAAGTCTGTGCATAGTAATACACAAAAGATGACAATAAAACAAATGGGATCTTGGAAGAGAACAAATGAGAAAACTCTAGCTTTTAAAGACAGGGCTGTTCCGTTCTGATGTTCTCTTCTGAAAGAGGAGACAATCCCAAGAGCAGTTTCTGTGTATGAAAGTTATCAGGTATGTCCAATGTTGTGGTCTCTGTGTGGAAAAAACATCCTGGTGTTTTATTTGAACAACAGACTAAATTATTTCAGTGGAGCCACATACAAAGATTTAGAACTTTCTTGGGAATTTCTCCATTTTTCCCTTTGGTAGAGGAAAAGCCCTTCAAGCACTTCGTATTAGTAGTGACTAATGAACTCTACTCTGTGGTTTTGCTAGAAAGGACCATTAGGATTTCCTAACCATCGTGTTCTTTTCTTGACACTTACACACAAACATATTTATGAATATTATCAGTATCCCTACAATCACCGAGATACAGAAAGCTGTACTTAGTGCAAACTGTGTACTGCACACAGCACAAGAAATTAAGTTTTTATAGACACTGTAGGGTTTTGCAAAAAATACAAACCTGAGGCTAAAGTATTTAAATTTGGTTGGTTTTCCTCACGCAGAAACAGAAGAGAATTCTCATTCATTGTTGCGAGAGTTTTTTTGTTTATTGTCTGAAACCTTTTGGAAACAAGTGTTCTTCTAGAGACAAAAGATACCTTTTACTCACAGGATTACTACGGCACTAACATTTGCTTCTCATATGAACAAGGTTTCCATGTATAATATTCTGAAAACAATGGATAACTAGATGTCCCTGCTATGGTATAATATAAATCGATGGAGGGTACAGACAGAGAAAAAAGGCTGTAGTTTTGTTTCAAATGACATATTAATAGCCAATAGCCATAGCCTTCCTGAACTGGGAGAATTCAATGGTGCACGTGTGAGAGACACGCATCTGAACAGCATCTCCCATTGTGGTTTACTGGAGGGAAGTGGCAAGATAGTTGGTCAGAAGAACAATGAACTAAGTTCCAAAATAAATACTTCAGTGGTGAAAACAGTTTGCTGAAGAGCTCAAAAATCTTAAAAGATGCCACAGAACCTACTCGAGTATTTTAACAGAAGTACATGCAATTTAACTGAGTAATCAGGAATGATTTAAAAATAATCTCCTGAGACAGAAATGCTTATTTCTCAGCCTCACCTTAGACAAGAACCACCCAGGCATGACCTTGGAAAAAAATCTCCCAGAAACCAGCTTTCCTGGCAGCCCCCTTCCATCAACCCTAACCTGAAATTTTAGGACTGAGCCTTAGAGAAACAACCCACTGATGGCTCAGGAAAAAACCCAACACATCCAAACAAGCAAAACCCAAAAAGAACCTCACAGCCCTGTTCTCCTGGCAGTCCACACCTCCCTTCAGCAGACACTTCATAGGCAAGCCTCCCTCTCTTTATCCTACTTTTCCATTTGGTAGCCTCTTTGTGTTCTGGCTCCACCTAGACCCTTCAGCTTTCTCCTCTCAGCTCTAACCTATAAAGCTAACCTTATTTTTTAGCCAAACCTTACAAGCCCCACCTCATCATGGCCCAGATAAAAAAAATTTCTCATATCCCAGCTGTCTTGCCAGCCCTTGCTTTCCTCGTCCAAACCCTGGACAAGGTGCTCCTGCCACGGCCCAGACAAGAAGTTTCTCGCAGTCTATTTCTCCTGCTATCCCACCCTTTCCTTTGGCAGCTCCTTTTACCCCCACCGGACCCCTCAACTTTATTATTCTCTCAACCCTAATTCAAACCCTAATTTTAAATCGAACCTTGTATAAGGCTCCCCAGTAACAGACCAGGTAAGAAGTTTCTCATAGCTCAACTCTCTTGGCAGTCCACAGTATATTTTGCCAGGTATTTCACTCTTCAAAAGAGAAGAGAAACTTTTTGTACATTTTAAGAAGTTTGCTGTTGGCCTTCAGATGGGTATAACTACATTAGTACAAATGAGAGCTTTATATTTTCAGGAAGACTAGGGGGTAGAGTTTGACAGATATGCCATGCCCAAACTGTCACTTACAGGACTTACCCGTTGTTCTGGTGAAGAACAGGGGGATTACACTAGTGATTCCTCAATTGACTAGAGACAAAAGTTAACATATGAAGCAGTAAAACCAGTTATAAGTACAAATTTCCATCAATGAATCAAAGTGGTCAGGAGACATAAAAGGTCTGAAGATTGACTTTTCAGTAATCAGAGGCAAAGGGCAAACTTAGTTCTACTTCTCCTAGCACCGATACTGACAAAACACAACAACAGAAACACCATGCCTCTTTCAACTTTATCCATCCTGAAGTCAGGATGGTCTACCTTAGTTAAGGTTGCAAAACACTGATTTGTCCCCCAGGCTGTTCGCAAATACAATCTGATAACCTGTATTATTTGAACATGTTTTTTTCAATTCTACCCTTTTTATGCCTGTCCTGGTTTCGGCTGGAATAGAGTTAATTTTCTTCCTAGTAGCAGGCATAGTGCTGTGGTTTGGATTTAGCAGGAGAAGAATGTTGATAACACACTGATGTTTTTAGTTGTTGCTAAGTACTGCTTATGCTAGGCAAGGACTTTTCAGCTTCCCATGCTCTGCCAGGTGCACAAGAAACTGGGAGGGGGCACAGCCAGAATAGTTGATCCAAACTGACCAAAGGGCTATTCCATACCATATGATGTCATGCTCAGTATATAAACTGGGGGGGGGTTGGCTGGGGAGGAGCGATCGCTGCTCGGGAACTGTCTGGGTATCGGTTGGCGGGTGGTGAGCAATTGTATTATGCATCACTTGCTTTGTATATTGTTATTGTTATTATCATTATTATATTGTTATTATTATCATTACTATTTTACTTTATTTCAATTACTAAACTGTTCTTATCTCAAGCCAGGAGTGTTTCTCACTCTTACTCCTCCGATTCTCTCCCCCATCCCATCGGGGTACGGGGAGTGAGCGAGTGGCTGCATGGTGCTTAGTTGCTGGCTGGGGCTAAACCATGACAATGCCCCAGTACACTACCTTGGACAATGGACGTGCACAGCAGGCAGTCCCCACACAACAAGTGCCATTAAAATACCATGTATAGTCTTATGACACATATACTAAACTGAAGATAAGGTATTTCCATTTGGTTTCCTTTGACATATATCACTACAGTAACCTCAGTGCTCCAGAAAGGTATTTTTACAACTCTTATCAGATAAAGGAATTGGATTTTCCTATTGTATATGGAAAGAAACAAGGCAAACAAGACTTTAAGTTTCTATAAATTTCAGCTATATTTGACATGTGCAGGATTGGAGTTTTCAGAGAATTTAGTGTTCTAATTCTGTGTTCAACACACAACTGAGTAATTTCAGCTGCCTCAGAGAGAACGCAATTCTTCAACAAATGCAATATAAGAATATCAAGTGAAGCACCAACGGAAACCACAGAACAATAACTCACAAGAAACTTGACTTTTTTTAAATTCTGAAGTGATTTTACATTAGGTACTAAAAAAGTCTGGTCCCTACTTTTATGCAGCTCCCATGCATTGCTATGTTAATTACAGAAACATTATCCATTTTAATCATGTTCTTATGCATATTAAGTAGATAGCATGAAATGGATAGGCCCTCCTTACATGTGACAGAAGGTGTAATCATAATATAGCATTAAGATATCAAACATTCGGCATTGAAGCAATTGTCATTTTGTGAAATGTGGCTTTGGAGTACTACATGCTCTGACGGGATATTGTCCTTAACATTAACAGCTATATCCATCTATCAAATTCTAATATATATTATATGTATATACACAAAGAAATACATTGTCCATTAAGCATTAATAAAGACTCAGTTAAATATACTGAAATACTTACAATGTAAAATAACCTTGAGTTCAACAAGAAGTTTCTTTGAACCTCCGTGGCTTGTACCCGGAAGTTTTTGCATGGCTTCTCCTTTTTTATTCAAAATCACTATTCTTAATGCTCCTGTATTTAAAAGGGAAAATGATGGACTTTTAAAATATGCTGTGTATTATAAGTGATTGGAGATTTCTGTATGCTTATTTTTTTAACAAGAGTGCAGAATATATTTTTAAATTGACATTTTACTTTTTAGTATTTGGAAGAAAAATATATACCTATTGGTGTGCCAGCAAATCTTTTTTCATTTGGTAATAACTCGTCTCCTTCAGGCCATGTTACTGATAATTTGTCAGGAAGTCTAGTGAAAAAGAAAGAATGAACAGTTTTTCTATGAGTTAAACAACAGGGGTAACGTATCTTTAGTAGAATATACACAAAGCTACTTTTTTGGGGGGAAAACAAACCCCTGAACTATTTCTTCTTGATTTAGAGTTCTAGGTTTTTTGGTTTCTACTGAAACAGCTGACTGCTTTCCCATTTGGGAATAAACTGAACTTTTTTTTTGTTCCTGAAGAAATACTAAAACTAGTATTAGGAACTCCACAAGTAAATAATTACAATTTAGAGCTTACCTTGCCATTTCATCATCTATGTATTTTTTAACAGCTTTTTCAGACACTGTTCTGTCAAGTTTTGAGATTGGAATAGTTTTCATTTCAGCATACAATGCCTGAGGTTCCTGAAAAATTAAAATTGAGTGCAGTTATAAACAGACAGATTATAATATGTCAGAGAAGAAATACCTCTATCAAGGGACTAGACAAGTTGACACAGACATAATGCAATATGCTAACAAATACTACCTGGTAACACCACAAGACACTGTTCTAAAATTTGCTGAAATCACAAGGGTTAAGAATGGATGCACAACATACTATTGACACCAACTGTGACACTTTATTTCATATGCAAATTTAAATAAATCAGATCATTGATCATGAATAATAATTTTAATATATTTACATTATAACTAACATAACTAAGTAGTTTGATTATTTCTAGATTGCTGAATCTCAAAAAAATACCATAATTTTCAACAGTTATTTAAAAGTTGTTTAAATAAGTCTGACCCAGGATCATGTTTAAAGATTCCATAGGCATATTAGGTATGTGAATCCTTTTTATATTTGTCTTACCAAAGCAATTTGAACCTCTCCTCCAGTGGCATATATATCCCCATCATGGTCTCCATACAAGAAAAATTTCTCAATACTTCCATAGAATATTGGAAGAGTCTTAACTGTCTTCACCTGTAAAGAGAAGACAACAATTAATGTCATTACGTTACTTCTGCATCAAATGTATAGTATTTGCCTTTTATAGGGTTCAAATGCTCTATTACAAAACAAACAAAACCCCAACATTGGTGAACAACTAACTTACCAGCTGTCCAGTTTTGTATGTTTTCCCATCCCACTCTATTGCAGCATACATTGTCCAAGGGCTCTGCATTCTTTTGGATGGTAAATCAGTACGTGTAGTTACTCCTTTAAAGGCTATGAATTTTATCTGTTTGTCATATTTTTCATGACAGTCTTTGAGCCACAAAGCAAATTCTCTGTCAATTTTCATTCGCTGCTCCTATAAAGAGGTTACAAAATAAATACATATTATTAATGTATTACAAAATTTAAATCTGACAACTTCAGAAGTATGAACAATTATAAGAGTACAGTGATACTGTACTCAAAAAAAAAAAAAAAAAAAAAAAAAGAAGATCGGAAACATTACAAAATTTTAGGAAAGCTATACTTCAAGCCAGAGAAAGTGTTTCCCCCAGCACACATATTCCTCTATGAAGAGGGTCTTTCACAAAAACTGTCATATAATACCTGAAGTCATTGTTTAAGAAAACAAAAGGAAAGAGACTAAATCTTATTTTTTCAGATTTAAAAAGTTGGCTTTACTACTCACTAAAACTGAGAGAAGTGTCTGCTACAAAGTCCTGCAAAAGTGCCCAAGGTGAAAGTTCTTCAGAAACCAGGCAATATTCAGTGACACAAACAAATGACCAGTGAGTAAAGGTTTCTATATCATATGCATTAAACTTTGCCACAAAGAAATACTTAACAGAATAAAAAGATTACCTGTCCATTGAAGATTCTCGTGAACAGAGTATTCTTATCTTTTAGCTTCAGCTCCAGATCCATGAAAGTGAGTTTGTTTGTGCTGACTTGAAACTTGTCATTGGTAAATAAAGCACCAGAAATTCTGTTGTAGCATTCAGCTGGTGCCAATCCTCTCTTCTTTGGAGGAGCGCACCAGTCAAAACTTAAACAAAAGGAGAAAGACATTAAAACCTTTTTTTATAAAGAGAGGTTTACATTATAGAAACAGACTGGTTTACATTGTAGAAACAGATTACCACTTACTCTTCCACAGTTGTGTATGGTATTAATCTTCCATTCCAAAAACACTCAAAAATAGGCCTTTTCCCTCTGGCACCCTTTTCCACTATAAAGCAGTCGTCATCATCGTCATCATCATCATTTAATTCTTGATTAAAAAGAAGACAGTCTCCATGAATAAATTTGTTTAAAAAACTAATATTATATTGAAAACCAGAGCAGTCTAAATTAATGATTATCTATACTTATTAAGTTAGGCACAGTAGCAGTACACATGATATCAAGCTAGGTATATACAATAATAGGATTTTTTTTTCTGTTTAAGAAATATGAAGCAGAAAAACTAAGGAAAGCTAATGAAAAATTTTAAACCGGGATTGAATATTATTACCAATTCGCAAATTTCAAATCTGAATAAATATTACTTTTTCCTCTTAGTTTCAACTGATGTTATTTTCATATTGTAAAATCTTGTCACAATTAAACTCAAGATTTATTTTGTCAAAAAAAAAAAAAAAAAAAAAAAAAAAAAAAAAAAAACCGTACACAAATTATTTTAAAACCCTAGCATCTGAAAACTCATGAAGACTGGATAAAACAGATTTTAAATTACGGACTTAGACTACATGTTGTCCTCTGTGGTATTCCAATGTTAGAATCTCTTGACTCAAACTGCTGGTGTTTCATTACTTTCTTGGAGCAAAGATCTAACAGTCGGGAAAGTGGAAATGTTTCAGTCAGACTAAGAGTTTATAATTTGAAATCAGATGGCATTATGTCAAAGATCAGGTTTGCATGAACAAGTTATCACAACAGCCAATTTGTTCACAGGTTTTGTTCATCCAAAAGGATGTGAACTTTTCTGTTCTGCCACAACCCAAATTAGATAATAATTTACATTTCAATTTAAATTGTTCTACTCTCTATATTTCATTTAAAACATTTAGAGTAGTAGGATTGTCTATAATAGGACTGATAAGTAGCAAAATGTTTCACTCACTTGATGGAAAACACGGATCATCAGGGTATGTTTCTTTATCATACAGGAAGGGATGATACCGGATGATGCCTTCCACTATACCTTCTCCTTCAACATGTGCCTTAAACTCAAAACTATCTGCTGCAGTATTTATATACAACGTCTGCATGTCATCTTTGATCTCCCTAAGATTGACAATCTTTGGTACTTTTCCTTTTTCGAACATTGAAATCTGGAAAAAAATAAAACAATTTCATTTTCTGTAGACCAAAAAACCTACAGTAATTAGCATATTTTACATTTATCTTAACTGTTAGCAAAATGAATCAGTTCCTATGCTGCAATGATAAATCGTATTACTTTTAAGAAATCAAATTACATACATATCTTAAAATGCTGCTGCAGTTCAAAATGCACGATTAAAGGAAAGCAGGCACAATGTGAAATAAGTTGCAATCAAAGAAGAATTTTGACTGGTAAGTATAAAATCTCTCACCTGAATGTCAATGTTGTTGAAAGGGCTTACGTCTTTTGTTACAGCATTAGTTTCATTTCCTTTTGGTCCATGGATATAATAGTGATAGATATGTCTGAAATACATTTTATAGGAAAAATAAATATCAGAAAATTAAATTTAAAAATTGCACATTATAATTTTCAAAAATCTAAATAAACTTGTATTTTTATTAAAATATAACTGGTTCATTGCATTGTTATAAATTAACTCCATGACAACATGTATATCTCATACAGAAGATTTACTAAAGCGAGTGAGTGACTCCTTTTCACTCCTTTCAACTCTCATCTCCTTCATGCACAATCATATTAGGATCATTTTAAAAATAAAATAATTAGAAACATTACAAATTGGAAAATAATACATAAGTGAAAACAATTGTGATTGTTACGTGGCAACAGATCCTTTACATCAAAAGTGCAAATTAATAAAACTACTGCAATTTGTTCTGCACTATGGAGATTAAAAAGAACTAAACCCAAAAAGCTTTCCATGCATTGTTTCTGATATCAGTTTTGTATTGATTGTCTAATAGTAATAGAAACATTTAACTAACAATCACTATCCTTCAGTCATTTATAAAAAAGTAATACCCCATTTGAATATAGGCAGTAATCATGGATGTGATCTGTGTCATTAGAAACAATTTTACTATTTGTAACCATTATTTTCTAATGGCACTTGTGCTCTTTTAAGAAACTAAAAAAAATCCAAATGGTCAGATACATTAATTATTTTCACAGGATACGAAGTTTGAGAAAACTGAAGAATTTAACTCCATTTACTTCAACTTTTCAGCAAACTAGCTAATTCTTCCAACTTCAACGATTGAGGCCTTAAACCTCAGGGTGGTGGTTTGCAGAAAAATGAGATTATACAAGTCAATGGGACTGAATGCATGAAGGAAGTGCACCTGCAAGTGTTTATAATTGCTTTGCTTCTGACATCCACTGCACTAAATGCACCCCAAAGAGAAATTTTAGTTCCCAGACAAAAACTCCTCATGGTATCATTGCTCAGGACTTTTGAGCAAACTAGTATGTCTAAACCACTTAGTATTTTGTCTGCATTTCTTCCAGACTTCAAACGGTACTCTCATGGCCTTAAGATGTAATTATTTTTGGGGTTCATCTCCCCTCCCTCCACTTCAAAGCATCTGAAACAATATGAGGGCTGTGCTGTAGCCCATTAAAGCAGAATGAAACTAGTATCATGTATGTGTGGCAAAAGGCATGGCAGAAGGATATGTGGAGGTGTTTGAAAGGAAAAAGGCCATTACAGCTGAAATAGTGATGCAGGACTGCGTAGCACTGGGAAGCTAAATCTGGTTTTACTGTAATAGCTACAGGGCATATACTTGAATAATTGCATCTGGGTTTCATCTCAAATGGAGGCAGTTCTTCCACTTCAAGAGAACGCTGGAATGAACTAACACACACCCAAGTGTGGGTGTTCACAGAAGAGCACCTAGGAGTTAATGAGGGACCTAAGTTACCTGTCAATGTAGATGTACCCCTACATTTTCATGAGATTAAAAAGGGTTTCAGCCACAAGTTCTTACATGCAACACTGAATGATGTTTCATATAATAAGGTACTACCTAATCCTTATATTAATCCTCATATTAAGTATTATATATTATTATTAGATTACAGGTAACACTAAAATTATAGCTTGAAAATCAAGTTCTATGGTTTGACAGATTTCAAAGTTGGGCTATGACTTCATAGTTCGGTTTACATTCACAGGTAGATCCATCATTTTAACAGATAAGCCCACATGATTCACAGGTATCACAGACTTCCATATCTCCAGGCTCTGCAGGCCCACTGATGACACTACTACAGTACTGAGTGGACAGTACCATATATCATTCTCCCTCTTAAACTGGGATGAAGCAGCAGCTTTTTTGTTGTTGTTGTTTCAAAAAACAAAAAACTGTAAATAGAGAGCTAGATAGCAAGGTTAGAAGCACAGCTGTGAGAAAAGTAACATCAAATTACTAATAATTAGATATCTAATTATTACATTAATTATTAAAGTATTAAATTGAATAGGCTATTAATAATTAGATTGGATAATTATGTATCAATTTTCAAGTCACATTGAAACTGATGTTCGCAAACATCTCTGTTTGGATGGGGGACCCCAGTCTGTTGTGCTAGTTTCTGTAAAATCAGTTAGCTAGGAAGACTAATTGTGTCACCAACAAAATACATATCAACAGCCTTAACAGGAATAAAGCCAATGACTATGTACAAAAAGGAAGTAATTCATAATTATCTGACCTTATTACTAGTCCACTTTTAAATCAAATCTTTTAAATCACTAACTTACGCCAGCTGCCTTGTCCAAAGATGAAAGTAGTTTTTCAAGTACTGCATGTGATCTGGTTGCACACCTGTAATGACAACTGCTGTGAAACTCTCTTTATCCCTTTCTTCTAATATTAGATTATGAAGAAATCTTTCATCATCACTTGTGATGTGAGTAGAGTCAGATGGCTACAAAAAGAATAAAAAAATAAGAGCATGAATTTACATCTACATTACACTTACTGAATTTCTGAACTCCCACCAACTTTGAAAGGGATTAAAAAACAAAACAGGAAAGTAATACAGAACACATGATGCTAAGTATCACAAAGGATTAACGCTTAAAATAAAAGCTTCCAACTTAAAGTCAACAAACTGAGAATGTGACATACCTGATGCAGTTCATTTTGAACTCACTTTCATCACAGCATTTTAAGTGTTCAGTCTAGAAATGTATTTAATCATGTTTAATGTGGCACTGTGTGATCAGCATGTTCTCATCCATCAAACAGAACTATTATGTCTACAAGACATAAGTCTTTTTTAAGAAAAACAAGCCAGAAAAAAAATTATTTGCTTTTAAGTGGAAAGGCTGCTTTCTATAATAGAAATTGAAGTGGGAGACACATGCATTTGCTGTGAAAGAGAAAGGGTGAATCCTCAGTTCCAGCTGAAATAACCAGTAGTCTCACAGAAACAGAAATGCCTGATTCCACAAAGTCCTGATTGTCTTTTCCTGGATGGATGCACTTTTCTCTTACAACATGAGGTTTTTAAGCTGCATAGAAACACAGTGGTTGATGCCATGCTTCATGCTGCACCAGTGGATAATCCTTTACATTTGGTGCATCCAGAAAAGAAGATGTTTTTAATATAAAGATTGAGATCTTTATAGCAATTGCAAACAATTGGTACAACTGAGAATATATGCTTTTCCATGCTGTAGTAAATGCAGCTTCATGCCTTGTTTTGCAGTAAAACAGGCAAAAAGGAAACACATCACTGAGTTGGGAAAGGACACATCTCCTACGTAATTACATCTTGATTTCTTTGCAAAAGTAACTTCCTTTACCAACTCAATTCCTCAAAGATTCACTTGTTCTTCTCACACTGCAGTAATCCATTACAACTTATATTTCTGTCATAGTATTCTCTTGCTCACCTATGTGCACTGCAGACCATTTTTCAAGGCATTAAAGAGACAAATTCACACATTTAATTTCACACCAGTATAACAAACTGGCCTGGCTATTTCAATGATTTGTAAAATTTTCTTAGACCTGAGTTTTCTATCCATTATCTCCACACTTCCATTACTTGAGGGCTTCACATCATCTCTTCCCTCTTAGATATTTACAAGTTATTTTTTTACCTCTAAGAGAACTTTACTTACTTTTTTTTTTAACTGCATTGACTTAACTTTCATTTTATATTATCACCACAACTTTTCAAACAGTTGATTGCACCACCTTCTTGAGTTCTTTAGTAGTATCTATGCATCGCATTCTGCTAGTTTCCTCCACTTAGTATCTGTTAGCTTATTTCCTACTTTTCTATCCCCCACCCTCCCTTTTTAATATCAAATGTGGAGGGAAAGCATTTCTGCCCTCTACAAAAAGCACATAATCAAGGCTATAATCAAGGTCTGATTACCTTGTCATACACAGCACTCACTTACACTCCCATCTGCACCCTTAGCTATATCTTTGCCTTTATCTGCTTGCTCAAAAATGTCCAAAGAACAGTTCCTTTCAGTCTTCCTGCTTATCTTACAGGTTTTTGCTTAAGCTTTACTTCTTTGCAAAAACCATCAGGGTTTTTGTTGATCTGGCTGACTTTTCTCCCATATGCAGGGTAGTTCTTCTACGTACTTCTATATAATACACAGTTTGTTTCCCTAATTTATTCCTTAATACCTCAGAGAACAGACATTTTTCTTTATGTTTCATACATAAAAAAAAAAAAAAACGCTGTTCTTAGAAAGATCTTTTTAGATATTTTTCTTAAGCCAATATGTCAAACTATATGGTGTTTCTGTCCTTTAAGCTAAACTGAAAAAATAATCACACACAAATAAAACCTTATGATATAGTGTCTCAAGTTTCCCATTACCTCCTTTCACATTCCAGAGTGCGAATGATCTATAAGATAAAGGTATCACCGAATAAGTATTACAAGAATATTACATAGTGAAATCATGTTAACCTGGCAAAGGCTTTCAATTAAAAAAAAGAAAGTATTAAGGCCATTACCTTCCTGTTTCGAATGTATCCACTATATATTGCTTCTTTGTTTTTTTCCTTCTTTTCAAAATCCTCTTTAGAAAGGACAAGTTCATGAACATCCTGGGAATCTGCAGGTTTGCTTATCATCTGTTTTTATTAAAGAAACAGCATTTAAAATCAAAACAAGAGTTTAAGTGAATATAATAAAACAGCTTAATGCTGCAATTAAAGCTAGAACAGTAACAATCTGATGATGTAAAAATGTTTTAGAATAAAGATTGAAATTTACTTACTCTGGCAGACTGTCCAACGAAGAACACTGCTTGTTTGCCTCCAACTCCAAAATATGAGATATCGCTATTTAAACTACGAGGCACTGGCAAAGGGCGTACATATCCTGAATGATCACTGACAATAAAAGTGGCTTTAATAAACTTTCTCAAGACAAATGTCATTTATAAAAACCGCAAACTTCTGATCTAAACAGCTTGTATTAAATTCTTCCTGCAGTCACTTTGTTCAAAAATCCTTCATTTTAGATCTATTACAATTGCAACATTAAAAAGTGCCTAAAATTCTGGACATATTTTTTTAAAAGGATGTTGACAGAGTAACTCTTTTCCTAAGTCATCTTGTAAGACACTTCTGTCCCTTCTAGCAAACCAAATTTTATTCAGTCATACACATTCAATTTTTTAATCTGAATAACTCTTTTGCTTATTACCTTCTATGTACAAGTTTTCTACACTGAAGTTCAGATGAAAGAGAGGAAAACATTTGGCAGGGAGAATCTGATAGAAAAAGAAACTACTACCCTGAAAACTTTTCTCCATTGTTAACTCTGCAACAGGGACATGGTCAATAGGTCTGCGTGACAGGTACTGTGGTAACAGCAATTACCCACAGTTTTAATGGTAGAAGGTAAAAGGCAAACCCCTCAATGCTCTCCCTTTGACTATGGCAAGATATTAACCGCGAAGCTGCTGCAAATGAAAATGGACAACACAAGACTGATCTTCCTGACACCACCCTTTCACAGAAATAGTTTTGAGTCAAAATGGAATATAATGCCAACCAACTATTAAATGCAGTCTTGGAGAGACTACATATGTCATCAATAATTAAATTCTATGTCTTTTGAGTCAGCTTTAATGGATGAACAGTATTACCTAGTTTAAGCAAATAGTAGGACAAACATCTCGTTTTAAATCATAGCAATTCCAAATGAAAACAAAGTGTAGATAGCATCCTGGTATAATTTACAGCTATGCTCCTACTGAATGGTATCAACCCACAGTTTAAACCTGTAGCTTAAAAATACTGTCCATTTCTACTGTTACTAAATTCACCTACAGCAATTTCAAAAACCAGTGATTTTCTCTACAAATGACTAGATAAGATGACCCAGAATTACTTTTTATGCACTTCTTTCTAGATGTGTGATAGATATGGAGTGTTCTATTTGGAGATGTATCCAATGCAAAAAAAACCCTCCTCAGCTCTATTATCACTTTCTACTGACTTTTTACACTAGTTTCTCATAGGACAAGTTAGGATTAAGGCTGTGATCCTTACCTTTAAATTTACTGTCCTAGGCTTAAGGTATTTTAATAAGTGACTAAAGCTCGAGAACTGTACATAACTGCTTCTCTGGAATTTTCTACGCTAGGGTTAAGCCAGGCTGTGCAGGTGGAAAATCTCTTGGGAGCAGACTCAAAACTGTAAAATGAATTCATATAAGCACCAAAACCCACCATAAACCTCTACTTGCTTCTTTAAAAGTGAAAGATTTATTTTGCCTAGCCTTCTTCAATAAATAGACATATTTAGGTATAATTTTGCATTACATTGTACATGATTAAGAAAAAAAAAAAGAAAAGAAAAGATAACCTAAACCAAAACCCCATATCCATTATAGCAGTAGCATGACAGACATTGAATGCATTCCTTAATGCACTATTGAAAGGCTTTCAGGTTACACTATAAGAAAAAACTCTCCAGAACACTGAATGTCCCTAACTGTATTTAGGCAAGTCAAAACCAAGACAGCTTAAAAAAGGCCACAAGAATAAAAAACAAGTGTGAGAACCAGTATCATAACATTAGAAGAGCGTTTCTGTGTTATGAAGCTTCTCTATTTCCTACCTACAGAAAATATATGCTTTTTTACATGTAATCATAGAATGACAGGTTTTAGCTAAGTGTTGGTATAGAGATATGTCTTAAAATGATATTCTGTGAATGTTCACAGAGTTTGCCAATTGTTGTAAAAATGATTAAAACTTTCTAACCTCTCGAAGTCACCTTGTCTTGTAAACTTTGACAGTCTATATACAGCCCAGTTGTTAAGCTGTTTAGAAGTCATTCCTCTTCCGTTATCAATCACAACAACAGCTGGTTTTCCTTGGGAGTCATCAAATAACTGTTTGGGTAAAAAACAAAAAACAAGGAGCACCAGGAAAAAGAAAGATAATGCAAACTACACCTGAAAAAAGTGAAGTATTTCTATCTTACCAATTTTATCTGTATGCTCCGAATACCAGTATTTTGGGCTGTAGCTGATAGAGAATTGTCAATCAACTCAGCAAGGGCAAATGCTAAAGAAATTGAAGAAAAATAATGCTATTAAAACTTTGTTCTCAAAAGACAGCACTCGGAAAACACACACACACTCACAGTAGTTTCTTCTGAGCAATTAGGATAACACATTCCCTAAACACAGGCAAATGCTAAGCACTGTCAGAACCACCAAAATTATAAAACATCTTGATTTTAAAAAAAGCTTTTGTACATATACTTTATGATTTGTTTCATCACTGAATCTCTCATTATCTCTTGATAATCTCTTGATGGTAAGAACACAATTACTGAAGTACCTAGGAACAGTGATGAATTAACAGGCTCCTTACCACAAGGCAAACTTGTCTTTTTCCATGATTAGGAATGAATTTGTATGATTCATATGGAAGTCCAAAGTATGTAAAAAACTGACTTTGACTTGTTAAAATATTGAGGGAAGAATGAACTAATTGAAAAAACCTGAACAGAAATGTTGCACAATTTCCAAAATGCAAAGTTATTTGTTTATAAAAAGAAGACAAAGAAAAATGTAAAAATGGTTGAAGAATTTAGTCAGTGGTAAATACAACCAAAGTTCTGTCAGGTAGGTGGCAATACATAGCAGAAACAGTCAGCCAAACTACTTGCACAAGTTCGTTGTTTCTAAACATTAACACTTGAAGCCTTTACCTAATTCAAGTTAAGACTACCTAACGTTAGTGAAAAATTGCATTTAATTTAGGACAACAGTATCAATCTGAAAAAAAACCATCACGTTCAGATTAATTTACTCCAACCGGTCAGCCCTAGTGAATAAAAGAAACATTTCCATTCAGTCTCTCTGATAAGGAAGTTTTATTCCCTACAATCTGCAAGGTTCTTCAGAGTGCTACAGTGGAATTACACTGGCCACACACTTCAGACATGCAAAATAAATCACTTGAGTATTAGTATCATATAGCAACATTGAAGCATTTGGCATTTTCCCTCAAGTTGTTTTTGAAGTATAAAAACATTTCTCAGTTTCTTTGCAATTTTCTTCACTGCTAACAACAGGAGTTGAGCATCAGTTATGCGATCCATACTTACTATTCCATATCAAAGAACAATGGCCCTTCATCAACACATAAAACTGGTTACGCATGCCCTTAAAGATGTTTTAAATAAGGAGCATCAGCTACAGCACACTTACACATGCTCAAAATTGCTATTTGCTCTAACAGTCAATTCTAGTACATAATAAACAAAAGTAGACAGTTTAATATAGCTGTTTTGCAAATTTTAATTACTGGTGTGTTGCAGAATTTCACAAATGACTGCATTAGGGTCTCAAAGAGTGAGAATTAGTAACACATTAGGAAAAAATATACCACTAATGTCATTACAGAAGTGGATCTAAAAGTTAGTCTGTTTGTAGTCTTGATCATTGCAGTCTTTTTAGGATTGAAAACTTAGGGCAACAAGTAGTACCAGAACTTTTGGACCATTTTAAAGGCTTTTATGTTAGCGGCATGAACACGTGCAGTACATTCAGAGCAGGAATCCTCCTTTTCCCTGTGTCACCTATTGCAGAGTACAGACAAGATCAAGAATTGACTTAAATGCATAAGAAAAGTTTCTCACAAACACCTGAAGCTTGTTCACTGTCTTTCAGAGAGAATGATGATTTAAAGCACCTTAGCAAGCTGCTTTAGCAATGACATGACAGTGGAAAGTGTAGGAAAAAAGTTTACCTATCCCTTAGTAGCAGTAAAGTTTTCTTTACTACTAAAAAAATAATCAATGGACTTCAAAAAGACAACATGGAGATCCCATATATAAATCACTTATCTGACTCATAAATAAATATGCCTCAGGCTTTTGGGAAACAGTATGCAGGGAGGGAAAACAGCGAATGTATGTTGATGATACTGCCAGATGGTCCCAAACAGAAGTTCAAAATGTTTTTAAACTACAGCAAGACTGTCGAGAAACTTTGATATCTAGGCCCACAGACATTGACAGGCACGATCAAAGTCTTTTCCTCTCCTGGGGATATACTTTCTTCCTGTTTCAATACTTCTGGATTACAAATAAATCTGTCAAAGATGCTGCTATATTTTACATTCAAAACACATTGTAAAATGCAATATTTTTACATGTGGATGGCGGATTTGACCTTGACACAAAAACCTCTGGATAACACAAGAGGTTATCATTGGAGTTACATACAGGGAGGTCATCATAACATGAGGCAATAGAAGTGGAAAACCTCTTCTATGAAGAAAAGGAGGGAAAAGGAAAAGAAGTCATGCGTGTGAGGAACTATAGGAAAACTGAATATATGCACACATTATCCTTTTTCATCTCATATTATTATTCTGAAGCCTGCTGAGAGAAGGAAAAAGAGGTTTTCCTACCAAGAAAATGTTCAGCATTTTGTGGGAGATGAGTAGTAGCTACAAATCACATCAACACTTATAGGAAGTGCAGTATTGAATGACTTCATGAAGGTCTTATGAGATGTAACAGTTCCGTCTCACAAAACAACTGTTTGTTTGCAGTGCTGTTTATTACCATGAAAACAGAGAGTCAGATTGTTATGCACATACTGAGGAATTTCTCCAACGTAGAATAGTTACAGTTCTCAGTATATATTAATTTTATTCAATAATTTAAATTTTGATTTAGGAAAAAAAAAAGGCAACACTGAAACAAAAACTCTTTAAAAGTGTAATATATTTCTAAACTGAAAACTTGTTTAAACATTTGTTTGCTTGACATAAGACACCATAAAAAGAGAAGGAACTTCTTCAAGTTCTATTGTAGAACTTGATGACCATGCATCATCCTGCATTTAACGTACAAACCTGTTTGTTTAAATGCTAGCATAAGTAAAGCTAAATGGATGATATCTGACTCTGACTAAAATCCTCTTTTTCTTCTCAGATTAGACTTTTTTTTTTTTAATAGAGGAACAGGGATTGGGAGATTTGATAACAGTTACAGAAAAATGAATACAAGAAACCACAGCCTATGTATACCTCCTCAGAGCTTAACAGTTCTAATACAACGTGGTTACAGTAACTATATGACAGAGGACTAGATTTGATTTCTCCATTTTTCTACCCTTCATCTCTCCATTCTTGCAGTATATAGTTCCTTGCTCCCAATTTGCAGCTCCCATCATCTTCTTGTCCCATAAGTTCTGTTGTGCTAGTATTATCCTTGTCTAGCTATGTTATATATATATAAAAGGGAAACATGAATGGATAGTAGCAAAATTCCTTGGTTTTGCAGCTGAATGTCAAGTAACAGAAGGTTCTGTGTCCACACCATTGCAGTCAACACCTCACATCGTCTCGATATGCCACAGAATGAACAGTTTTCTTTTGGTCATGATTTTGATGTCCCAGTGGATGGGTTGCATGCGTTTTGATATTATTTCCTACTTACACCCTCATGCTCAAGTACTATATATCTTTTTTTTTTTAAGTCATCCAATGTGGTTGCTAAAGGTGCACGCCTTCAAATCAAGGCTGAAATGCTCTGCAGTTTCAGGAACGTACTATGGTTTGACCGCCAGAAGTGCTCATTTGAATGTCGTGAAATTCTGTGACTGAAAGAACAGAAATGCTTCCAGTTAACATGAATCTAGCTACAAGAACAGGATTTCTACCTGCAACTTTTGAAATATATGCATTTACCTAAAAAAAATGCTATTGGCACACTTTTTTCCCCTATTAGTCAGCATTAATGTCTGTAAACTAACAATAATTCATAGAATCACAGAACAATCCAGGTTGGAAGGGACCTCAAAAGATCAGGCCCATCCTTTCAACTAGAACAACCTGATCTAGTTAAAGATGTCCCTGCTCACTGCAGGGGGGTTGGGCTAGATGACCTCTAAAGGTCCCCCTTCCAGCCCAAAGCATTCTATGATTCTATGATTCATGGGAAAGGGAGCCTAGATGATATTATCTAGCACCCTGTCCAATCGCATCTTGAAAACCTCCAGTGATGTGGATTCTACCACATCTCTGAGGAGGTTGTTCCAATGAATGATTGTTCTCACTGTTAAAAGAGGTCTTTCTTGTATTGAGATCAAACCTCTCCCAGTGCAACTTGTACCCATTGCCCCTTGTCTTCTCCATGTGGCTTCTTGTGAAGAGAGAGCCTCTGCCTTCTTGGTACCTGCCCTTTAAGTATGCAATACTGTGATGAAGTCCCCCTAAGCCTTCTCTTCTCCAGGGAGAAAAGACCTAACTCCTTCAATCTTTCCTCACAAGGCAGGTTCTCCAGTCCTTTCATCATCTTTGCGATGCTCCTTTAGACCCTCTCCAGTCTGTCTGTGTCTTTTTTGAGCTGTGGGGACCAGAACTGGACATAGCACTCCAGGCACGGCCTAAACAGTGCTAAGTGGGATGTTCACATCTCTGGCTCTGCTAGTAATGCCACTGGGGGTACAGCCTACGATTCAATTTGCCTTTGTTGCTGCAGCAGTGCTCTGATGACTCATGTTAAGCTTGTTGTCCACTAGGATCCCCAGGCCCCTTTCAGCAAGGCTGCTCCCCAGCCACAGAGACCCAAGCCTGTACTGGGCTCTTTGGTTATGTTGTCCCAGGTGCAAGACTCTACACTTGTCTTTGTTAAACTTCATACAGTTCTTGCTTGCCCACTCTTCCAGCCTGTCCAGGTCTCTTTGTAAGACGGCTCTCCCATCTGATGTGTACACCTCACCATCCAGTTTAGCATTATCAGCGACACTGATAAAATCACAACGGAGAAGTATTTCATTCTACTGCTTTTGTTCTTATTTCTCTTGTAGTAACCATCAAATATGGAAAAACACAGCTTTTAACAACAAATCACTTCAGAGACCCTCAAACCCAGGATGAGAGTGGAAGAAACAATAACAAAACATTTGCCAATAAAAAAAAATCTGACAGATAAAATTAGCAGAAAAGTCAAGCAGCTAGAGATCAGAGTAGCCTAAGACGCTAACCAACTACCTCAGCATGGCTTCAGCATCCATTACATGCACCTCCCAGTAAGCCACAGTGCATTTCACTGAAACATGACACAGGAGCTAGGGGTATGATTTTACAGTACTTCATTTTCAGCAGAAAAACTACTACTGTTCAGCTTGAAGATCTATCACCATGGCACAAATACAATGATGAGGTATGGTATCTGCCAGCTTCATACAGTTATATTCTCCAAAAGAACAGCCCTGCTGTTGACAACACTTTGCCATGCAATCAACAATCTTACTGTCATGAAGAGTAGAGGGAAGAAAAAAAGCTCGACATATAAAGAAAAGGAAAACGTATGTTTTACAGACACAACCCACCCCAATCTATCCACCAATCCTTATTGATCTATACCTTTACAGTGCGCTCTCTTCTACTTTACACCCCTTTGATACTTTGTTTCTGTATTAAGTTCTTGCCCTTGGTGAGCGTATTTAATAGTTGCCCCAGATGGCTCACAACAGCTGGTTGATCTCCAAGGACTACCTCCTCAAAGAATAAGAGTACCTCACTCCAATGTGCAGAAACTCAAGTAAGTGTGGCAGAAGGCCAGAATTGATGCAAAAGACTCCTGAGCAAATTCAAGTGCTGATGGGAAGTATGCATAAGGTTGAAGAGTGGATGGGCTACCCAGGCGGAATACAGAGACACTGACCAAGTGTCAACCAGACAGTCAAGGAAGTGTTTCTTCCTCTCTATCCAGTCCTTGTGAGACTGCATTCTGAGTACTGTGTACAGCTTTAGGCGTCTCTGAAAGACACTGAAATACTGAGGTGAGTCCAGAGGAGTCCTCCAGATAATCAGAGGGCATGAGCACCGGACACGCAAGGAGAGGCTGCTGAGGGAACTGGGATTGTTCAGACTTAAGAAGAGAAGGCTAAGGGAGACCTTATGGCTAGGAGGGTATAAAGATGAAGCCAGACTCTTCTCAGCAGTGTACAGTGATAGAAGAGGAAACAACGGACAAAAGGTGGAACATGGAAAACTCATTAGACAAAGATGTATTTATTTTATAAGCAAATACTGGAACAGGTTGCCAAAACAGGTTGTAGAATTTCTACTCTTTGGAGATACTCAAAACTCAACTGGACTTGTCCAGCCACCTGATCTAATTGGCTTTGCTTTGAGCAGGGATTTAGATGACATGACCTCCAGAGATCCCTTCTGACCTAAATTATTCTAGGATGCCATATAATAGTTCCACGTGTCCAAGATCTCCCAATCTTTCCCTGAAAAGTTCTTGGATGGCTACTGCAGATAATGATTACCATACACAGGCCTTCATTTTTAACCATGTCAGGTTCAGCCATCAATTCAGTGTCACAAGGAAATGAAATAGTATTTAGCCTTCCTTTACAAAGTCTTGAGCTGAGCTAAAGAGGCAGAAGCATCAAGTTCAATTTAAGAAGCTATGCATAGACAAGGAATAGTCAGGCTAGTTTGCACTGCTGTACCTTAGATTTATTAGTTTTGTTCAAAAAGTAAAAACAAGAGACTTTATTAAGCAGAACAGAATGCACATGCTTGGAAAAATGAAGTCCTGAGATCCCTGACTGACACAGAAAACATGAACGAGGGATGACAGAATCCTAGAATGGTTTAGGTCAGAAGGGACCTTCAAAGATCATCTAGTTCCAACCCCACTGCCAAGGGCAGGGACATCTGCCACTACATCAGGTTGCTCAAAGCCCCATCCAACCTAACCTTAAACATTTCAGGGATTCGGCATCTACAATTTCTCTGGGTTACCCGTTCCAGTTCTCACCACCCTCACTGTAAAAAAATTTCTTCCTTATGTCCAATCTAAATCAACACTCTTTTAGTTTAAAACCATTACCCCGTGTCCTGTTAACTACAGGCCCTAGTAAAAAGTCTCTCTCAATCTTTCTTATAAGACCCTTTATATATTGAAAGACTGCAGTAAAGTCTCACCAGAGCCTTCTCTTCTCCAAGCTGAACAACCCCAACTCTCTCAGCCTTTCTTCATAGGAGAGGTGTTCTGGCCCTCTGATCACTTTCATGGCCCTCCTCTGGACCTGCTCTAACAGGTCCATGCATGTCTTGTGCTGGAGGCCCCAGAACTGAATGCAGTGCTCCAGGTGGGGTCTCACAAGAGCAGAGTAGAGGGGCAGAATCACCTCCCTCAACCTGCTGGCCACACTTTTGATGCAGCCCAGCATACAACTTGCTTTCTGGGCTGCAAGCGCACACTGTCAGCTGATGTCCAATTTTTGATTCACCAGTATCCCCAAATCCTTCTCTGCAGGGCTGTTCTCAATCCATTCATCCCCCAGTCTGTACTGATACTGGGGATTGCCCTGACCCAGGTGCAGGACCTTTGCACTTGGCCTTGTTGAACCTCATGAGGTTCACTTCTCAAGCCTGTGAAGGTCCCTCTGGATGGCATCCCTTCCCTCAAGTGTGTAACAACTGCACCACTCAGCTTGGTGTCATCTGCAAGCTTGCCAAAGGTGCACTTGATTGCACTATGTCATTGATGAAGATATTAAACAGTACTCGTCCAAATACAGACCCCTGAGGGACACCACTTGTCACCAATCTCCATTTGGATATTTGAGCCGTTGACTGCAAGTCTTTGGATGTGACCATTCAGCCGATTCTCTACCCATTAAATAGCTCATCCATCAAACCCATATCTCTCCAATTTAGCTACAAGGATGTTGTGCAGGACCATATCAAAGGCCTTACAGAAGTCAAGATAGATGACATCAGTTGCTCTTCCCTTATCCACCAGTACAGTCACTCCATTGTAGAAGGCCACTGGATTAGTCAGGCATGATTTGCCCTTGATGAAGACATATTGGCTGTCTCTAATCACCTCCCTGTCATCCATATGCTTCCAGGAGGATCTGTCACATGACCTCACTGGGCACTGAGGTGAGGCTGAGTGGTCCATAGTTCCCAGAGCCCTCCTTTTTAAAAACAGGTGTGATGTTTCCCTTTTCCCAGCCACTGGAGACTTTGCCTGACTGCCATGACTTTTCAAATATAATGGACAGTGGCTTAGTGACTACATCTGCCAGTTCCCTCTAGACCCTGGAATGCATCTTACTGGGTCCCATGGACTTGTACATTCAGGTTCCTCAGATGGTCTTGAACCTCATCTTCTCATCCCAGGATGCCAGCCCCTGCTTTCACTGCCTATGCATTTCCCTCTTGTGTTTCAGTTTGACCAGGAGGTCCTTACTCAGCCATGCTAGTCTCCTGCCTTACTTGCCTGATTTCTTGCACATGGGAATCAATAGTTCTTGCGCTCCACGAAAAAAAGTCTTTAAATAGCTGCCAGCTCTCTTCTGCTCCTTTATCCCTGAGGGCGGTTTTCCAGGGTATCCCACCTTTCCTCCCAGGGTGACCCTCCACATTTTCTTCCTTGCCTGTCCCTCCTGAACAGTTTATAGCCATCGATTGCAGTGCTCCAATCATGTCAGTCATCCCGCCAAGTGTCAGTAATAGTGGATCACATTGTAGTTTTCCAGCTGCATAGCGGCTTCCAGCTCCTCCTGTTTGTTACCCATGCCGTGTACACTGGTATAGAGACACTTCAGTCAGACTGCTGACTGTCTCATTTTTTTGGTGGAACCTTTGTGGTGGGTTGAGGTCATTCCTCACTACTCCGGTAGATGCACTCATCCACCCTAGTGCTTGTGAGTACACTAGTGTCATGACTTAGCATCCCAACCCCCAAGTTTGTTAGCTTAAAGTGTGATTCACTGTCAGCCAATCTGCCAGCAATGTTTATGATCTCTCCCAGCATACAAAGTAGGGTCAACAGGTGAGAAACTGGTAACTAGTTCAACATAATACAAAAAGACATGACACTTCACATCACATGGAATTAAGCTTGGGGGCTCAATACCACAAAATACTGTGAATGCTAAAGATGTCCAGTTACTTTCTGAACCACATAACAAGTTCATGGAAAAGAGCAGTCCATAGACAGGAACTCAAAAGTCCCTGAATCACTTTTGTTGCATCTCTGCACGGCCTTTCTGTTCTCCTAGTATTTCTCAGGTATCCGATACCAGCTGCTAGTAGGAACATAGCACAGACCTAGACAGAATGCTTTGTGTGGTCTAATACAACAATTCCTGTGCACAGAGATACACGCATCACCCTCCAAACTATTAGTGCACCTTGAGCACAGTGCCCCCAAACCTGAACCAAAACAGCGTCTTTGGCAGAACGGGAAACAAATGAAGTGCAGAAAGATGGAGGGGGCAAAAGGAGAATGGTACTTAAAAATACAGTTGCTAGTTATAGACATTGTTGAGATTGTTTTGGAACAGAAATCGCTGTGGGAATGGTATAATGCTTGAGTTTTGATGTTTGCATTTTTTCTGTATGATTTTGAGCCTGCTGTACCTAAGATGTATGTACTTAAAAAGTAATCACAGCCACAGACAGAATTTTCAGAGAAGCCATAAACAGAAATTCATTTTTTCAATAAAACAATACAAAATGCTGGTTACATATTTAATATACCAGTTAGAGAAAAACTAAAGCAGCATCTTTTTAAAGAAATACTTGCTCTCATTGGTAAGTTAGGCCCTGTAGTGTAGAGCCACAGATGGGACAGCAGACAAAATTCTATGGTAGCTCATACAAAAACCGGTCACCAAGTTCAAGCAAAGTCAGTACAGGAGACAAGAACCTGATAACACATACGCTGAACTGTCTGGAGGACACATGAAAGATTATTATCAAGACTGAAGTAATTTTACTTCTAAAATGTTCAAACTTCTTAAAGTAGCATTTCAGGAGGTACCTCTGCAAATCTGGATTCTTACACAGCCATTTTAAGTCATTTTTAAAATAAAAATTTGTATAAAGAACATGGTTAATTTTTCTTTTACAGTTAAAACTATTTTTTTTCACCAGCTGTAACTAAAAGTTAAACTTCTCATAACCACATTATATTCATCTAAACATCATTTACACAAGATTATTTTGGAAAGTACTTACGCAAAGGATTTTGCCCTTCGCTAGCATAGTACTCGTACATCCCACTTTTGACAAGCGTATCGTAGTGGGGCAGGAAGTCAATTCGCTCCTTGGTTGCCGAAAGCAGCATTTGATCAACTGACTGTAGCAGATATAAAGTAACTCCATCTTGAACAAGTTCACCTGCAGTGAAGATGAAATATGAAGTATATTGAAGAGCATTCACTGCATCAGTCAACTTTTGCTTTCAAAACCAGTACAGGTTTAGCCTCAGGTAATCTCTATATTTTCTTAGGCATTGACTACTCAGCCTCCTAGCAACATTTTAATTTAAAATATCTTCATGTCTCCAAGCTTAATAATGCGAGTTTTCTCAGGTGACAGCTATTTACATGTCATTTTTCCTATCATTTACAGAATTTGTGATGGAAGGTAAAAAATTACCCCGTATAACTGCCATACTAACGAGTAGTTGTTAAAAACTTGTTTGTGAAAGTCAATTTTGTAACAATTCTTGGCAAACTACTATAGGATTTGTACTTCCAGTTAATTATTGCATGTCATAGAATATAAACAATCATGCAGTCTTTACAATCAATATAAGAAATAGCTGTATTTATTTTGCCTTCTAAGATACTTACTGAAGTTGTCTTCTGTAATTTCCTTCCTGTTTGTTGTGGTGATAACAAAGTTTTCATCAGTAGCTATGCCAAATGCCTACAAAAATTGGAGGTTATTCAGTTATGATAACTATGTACTCCATAAAGTATTCAGATAAATGAAAAAATAAAAAAAAAAAAAAAAAAAAGCAGTCTTTCTATTCACTTTGCCACAAACTACTGAGAAGTGACCAAATATTTTCCCCATATTAACTCAGAAGTAGAACACAGTTTAATTCCAGAACTTAACTTCATTTCCTTTCTCAACTTACCCCAAACTGTCTGTACTAGAGCAGTTTGGTTTTTTACCTGCTTAAAATATGTTCTAGCGAGCAACAGGAATTTTAAGGAGGAGGAACTGTCTTATGGGTAGTCACCTTGAGGTCTCAGCAATGAGACCAAACAGCTCTACTTCAGACTGCACAAGTACAACAGCAATAGTCATGATCTAGAGGGTGTCCCATATTTAATTGCACTCTCTTGAGACATTAAACCAAGTATTTCTTAATGTTGGATACACATTACAGTCTTTGTTCTTCAATTATATCATACACTAAAAAAAAAAAAAAAAAAAATCAAGGTTTCTTTTAGAAAATTCCTTACCATTAAAACATTGAAGTATATTCTTTTGAACCTAAACAGCCTTTGCCATTCTGCTGCCTCCAACTTTTGAGTATGTTTTTGCAGCTTTGGACTTTTTATCCTGCTTTCTACATACATTTATATGCCTCTACATTTGCCCTCATTTTTGCACCCTGACATCCAACACTAATCTCTTTCTCAAAATAATAAACTAAATATCTGTATTTTCTCCTGCCTTTCCAGGTCTCTGAAACACAAGTAAAAGTCAGCTCCGGTCTTGTTTAACTCCATCAACCCCTTCAGTCCTGTGGTCATGACTCCAACAGGTGCCTTCTGCACTTACAGATTCTTCCCTGAAACTCCTGCATTCCCTGTAGCAGCTTGCCCTCATTGTTTCCCATACCTCTTTCTTTCCATCCCTAGTACTCAGACTCACATAAATATTTTCAAAACACTGCTTAAGGTTTGATTAGAAGTCTGCTTTCCATCTTTCAGTTACTTTCTCTCTAGTCACAACTCTATGTTATGAGGAGCGGCTGAGGGAACTGGGATTGTATAGCCTGGAGAAGAGGAGGCTGAGGGGAGACCTTATCGCCCTCTACAACTACCTGAAAGGAGGTTGTAGTGAGGTGGGTGCTGGTCTCTCTTCCCAAGTAACTAGCGATAGGAAGAGTAAATGGCGTCAAGTTGTGCCAGGGGAGGTTTAGATTGGATATTATGAAAAATTTCTTCACAGAGAGGTCAAGCATTGGAACAAGCTGCCCAAAGAGGTGGTGGAGTCACCATCCCTGAAGGTGATCAAAAAACAGGTAGATGTGGTGCTTTGGGACATGGTTTAGTAGGCATGGTGGTGTTGGGTTGACGGTTGGACTGATGATCTTAGAGGTCCTTTCCAACCTTAGCGATTCTATCCTAGTTTTACTTTCACTAAAAAATAATCCAGCCACCAAGCCAGGAAACCTGAAATTAATTATGACTCTACCCTTAATTGGTTTAGTGGTGGACTTGGTAGTGTTAGGCTAATGGTTGGACTGGATCATCTTAAAGGTCTTTTCCGACCTAAACAATTCTACGATTCCATGACTATGTCAAAGATACAGTTAGTATCCATCAGCAAAATTAGCAAAATTGTCAAATTTCGCATAGCACTTGGTGCAAGTGAAACAAATGGAGATGACACAGAGACTGATGTTCAAACTTGAAAGTCTGGAGTAATCATTACTTTTTAGCTCTTCTAAGTTTAGATCACTTCAACTTAACCTCTTACATTACACAAATTTCCACATAGCAAACCTATGCAGGAAAAAAAAACCCCCAAAACCAAAACATTGCTCAGAGCAAGGAAAATAAGCAATAAAAATTATGGATATTATAAAACTAACATCCTACTGTGCCATTCGAGGTTAATGGTTAATACAGAATAACTGAACTGGAGAGTTTTACATTTGAAAGCACAGATAAGCATCTTTTCCCTCCCGGTATAATTACAGCTTCCTTGTTTTCTCTATCTCCCAAAAGCTCTTCTGCTCTCAAAACCTTATGAAGAGTGCAGTATTTACTTTAAGGCAGCAAGAAGTTAGGATGAGGTAGTGCATGCACAAGACAGCAGCCTGCTAACCAAGCAGGGGCAGCCTCCTCCATCTGGCCCTCTCCCCCATTCCATGGGGGAGCCTCAACTAAGCCGACCACAACAGCCTCACAGGCAGAGCTACACCTGAGTTTCCTGGGTGAGCCCAGCACTATTGTATCTACTGGCAGCAGGTCCTTTCCACTTCACTCCAAATGACTGTCATTTAGAGATAAGCTACTAGGCAGGTTCATGGACCAAGTCTGGCAGTCCTAACTGCAGATAACCTGTTTTTCTTGTCCATGACAGAATTAAAGATGCAACATCCTTTGTAAACTTTGGCCAACTTAGAAAATTTCTCAGTTTGAAAGCTTCACTTGTATACAAGACCTATTTGTTTTATTTCCTCTTTCCC